AAAAAAAAAAAACCAAAAAAAAAAGTCGCATCAGAGAAAGATGCTGTGCGGGCGTGGCGCGAAGGAGTGCTGCTGTTGCCATTGCTATTTTTGGAAATAAAAGCCACGTTTTTCCTCGTCCTCACTCTCCCCTGGTAGGGTACTACTGTCTGCAGCTGACCGTAAGCCTACCTCGGATTTCTTTTTTTTCCTTTTTTTTGAGGGGCGGGGGGGAGGGGGGGGGGGGGCTCTGATTTGTCTTTTAGGGAAGTCCGGTTTTTAATTGGCTTCCGTTTTAGGGTTTAGCTTCTGAGGCTTTAGAGTGTTAAGGTCTGGAGGACTATTAGGGTTTTAAACCGTTACTCAATTGGGGGGGGAGGGGTTTGTTCTTATTGCACATCGTTTCACTCCCTTGGGTTTAACGATAACAACAAGCCTCTCAAAACGACATCTCTCAATTCTCCCACTTCGCTTTTTTCCTGTGGGTTTAACGATAACAGCAAGCCAATCAAAACGACCTCCCCCCCCCTCTCTCTCTCTCTCTCTCTCTCTCTCTCTCTCTCTCTCTCTCTCTCTCTCTCTCTCTCTCACACACAAAAAAAAAAAATAATAATAATAATAACAAAAAAAAAAAAAATCGTTCGGGATAGATGCATCAAACGTCAATGTAGAGCGCCATCCGCGCAAGGAAAGACAAAAATGTGTCTGTCCACGTTCAAACTGGAGATGTATTCTCCATTTGGCAGGTACATTTACCGCACTGCTATCCAAATGTGCAATCGAGAATGTATTTTCCGGAGAAGTGGAAAAATACACCCCCCATAAGTTGTCTGATTCACATTTGGTGAGTAGTGCGAGGACCTCTCTCTCTCTCTCTCTCTCTCTCTCTCTCTCTCTCTCTCTCTCTCTCTCTCTCTCACACACACACACACACACACACACACACACACACACACACACACATCCAAAAAGTCGTTCCACTCGATCCAAGCTAGCGAAGAAGCGACAGAAATCGAAAAAGGAACTGAAAGTCGAGAGAAGGAAAGATAAACGTAAGCACATGCACACTCATACACAGGGAGGGTTAACTCACCTTCCGTCATGGTCGCGCAGTGGTCTGCGCGCCGTCAGGCAGTCCTGAGCCCAAGCCACAGCGTCCAACCTCCACTTTCCAGAGCCCAAGCTCCACCAAGTAATCGTTTCCCAACCACCAACCACCAAACCGAACTGAAGCACGAAACCGTGTGTCGCTGTGTGATGAGTGTGTGTGTGGGCATGTGTGTCTGTCGTGTTGTCATGTTCCTGTCTCTTATACACATCTAGATGTGTATAAGAGACAGCACACACACACACACACACACACACACACACACACCACACACACACACACACCCCGGTTCATTAGAAGCCTGCGGCTGCCGTTATCTTGGCCGAAGGCCGCGATTTTGAATGGTCCTTCCTCTCACACTCGTGGAAGAAGTCGGCGCATTCGATGCCTGTGAGTTATCCGTCGCCGCCGCCTTTGCATAATCCACATCGTACTTGTAGAACCTTTCCAACGCTTTGATGAAGAAAGGTCTAATTATATTAATCTCCATAGCCGACACATTGTTCAACTTGACAGCATTCTTCTTCCCCTCGAGTTGCTGAAGGCCGTTTTGAATCTTATTGAACCGAACATTCCGAATATCTTCAATGAGAGTTCTCATCTTGTAATGATCACATAGATCTTCTATCGCGTTATCAAAAAGCAGCTGAGAAATCTCGATATAGTGAAAGGGTAATTCCTGAAACACACCAGTACTCTCCCTCTCCTCCTCCAAGACTCTCGCTAGGTTATCTACATTCATCCAGTCTGGGGTTTGCAAAGTGCACTTTCGTCGTTTCTTCAGCGAAAGTGCGAGCCAAAGGGGAACCTTGACCGGGATCTGCGGTCGAAACGGACCGAAATCGCCACAAAGCATGTGCATACCGTCAGATCTAAAATTGGGAACGATGGAGATCAACTCGTCCTCCGCCAAGAACTCCATCTCCGCTCCTGTAAACAAATGAGTAGGAGTCATTTTCGCTGGTCCCGACGACGAACCCATCTCTCTCTCTCTCTCTCTCTCTCTCTCTCTCTCTCTCTCTCTCTCTCTCTCTCTCTCTCTCTCTCT